ACATCTCAACAGACCTCTTCTGTTTCCACAAGTTTTTAAAACTTGTAACAGGGAGATCAGAAATTTTACATTAACATTTGCCTATGCCTTGGTAAATGTGGAAAACGGGCAACAGCACCCCTGCCTTAAAATTGGGAGCTCTCTGTTCATTATTGAAGTTTGACTTGGGAGGGGAAGGCCTGGGCTTCTGCACAAGCCTGAAAAACAGATACTCTTTTTAAAATATCCACTGACTGAAATTAAGGTGACTCTTAAATAGAGCGTTAAATAGAGAAGAAAAGTAACCCTTTTCCAGGCTTTTGTTCCTCAGCATGAAAAGGGTTGGGCTGCTCCAGAGAAGAAACGGAGAGAGGTGCCATCGAACTTGGGTGAAATCTCAAGTGTTTCTTCCAAATTATTTTTAAAGCACCCACCACTCCATACAGCATTCCTCTGAGCATCCACCACTGTAGCTCTATAAAGTGATTCAGTTAAAAAAAAAACTTCTGCTGAATTGTGGGGTTTCTTCCAGGCTCTTCTTATCAGTCAGAACAGCTCACCACACACACACACAGCATTGGGTTTCTGTAGTGTAACTGTTCACCTCACACACAAAAGACCCCTGGTTTGAAACCAGGCATATGTGTATATAAACAGACCTTTTGTTTTATAAATTAATTTGAATAAATCCAGGCATTTGTGTATATAAACAGACTTTTTGTTTTATAAATTAATTTGAATAGATCCATTCATAATACTAAATTCAGTTAAACTTATTTTGCTTGTTTCAAAAGAACCTGATGAGTTTGTGCATTTATTAAGCAATATAAATACGGCTTCCTTCATGTTTTATTCTGAAAATTGACAGCTAAATCCACAAATTTGGAGAATATCTGTAAAAATCAAATGCCAGTGTAAGAACTGATCTAAAAAAAAAAAGATGTGCTAGGAATGTAAGCTTCCATGTATTATTTCTTACGATCAAATGTAATTAAAAACTTAGGGTGTATTCATATATCATATATTCTTTTTTCATAATTTTGTTTGGGGAACTATATGTCTGTAATCTTGTACCCACCTTGAAGTAAATGCTACAACATTTAAAGTCAATAGGAATGTAAGGATGTATGGAGTTGAAATGACATGTTAGTAGATTTTAGATTTTAATTTTCAATTAAAACATTTCTGGAATGATGGAAGTTGTAGTCCAACAGTATTTGGAGATCCATGTTTGTGAAGACGTCAAATATGAATTTAGTTCTAGTCAGACTTAGGCTATTATTTTGGAGTTCCTTTTTGGTCAAAACATCTTTTTATTTTCTTTAACCAATGGTTTTTGAAATGACGCCTATTATGCCTAGACATTTTGTCATCTGACAATCTGGAAAAACTAATGTTGAGCTTATAGTTTATAATGTTGAGCTTTGAAACACTATGGTTGACATTAGATTGTCAGATGACTTTATGTTAAAAACAGAAAATGATTTGCAAGGGGTAAAAGTTGGAAATGGGAAGGGAAAACAGACACAGACTTTTGTCATTGTATAACAACATAAACTGAAGGACAGATACTTGGGCTTTATTTAAGGTTATTATTTTCATAGTCAATCTTTCTTTTGAAACATAGCTTCACATCATCACTGAAATATATTGAAATAGACCAGAGTTTGTTTGAATTTTGGTTAAAAAAGAACAAATGTATCAGCATGTGGTCCCCATCTTCAAGAAAGGAAAAAAAACAGATCCAGGAAACTACAGACCAATCAGTCTAACATCAATACCTGGGAAGATCCTGGAAAAGATAATCAAAAAACAGATCTGCAAACAACTAGAAGCAAATAAAGTTATAACTGGTAGCCAGCACAGGTTTGTTAAAAACATATCATGCCAAACCAATCTTATTTCATTCTTTAATAAAGTGACCAAATTAGTAGACTAGCGAAATGCTGTGGACATAGTATACTTAGATTTCAGTAAGGCATTCGACAAAGTAGACCACAATCTACTCCTTGGGTAAGCTAGAAAAAGGTGGAATAGACAACATCACCACCAGATGGACTTGTAGCTGGCTGACAAACCGTACTCAGTGAGTAGTCCTCAATGGTACTACATCCACATGGAGAGAAGTAAGCAGTGGGGTACTACAAGGTTCCGTCTTAGGCCCAGTACTCTTCAATATCTTCATCAATGACTTACATGAGGGAATAGAAGGGGAAATCATCAAATTTGCAGATGACATTAAACTGGCAGGAATAGCCAACACCCCAGAAGAGAAGGTCAGGATTCAAAAATCTTGACAAACTTGAACAATGGGCCCTATCCAACAAAATGAATTTTAATGTGGAGAAAAGTAAAGTTTTACATTTAGGCAGGAAAAATCAAAGATATAGTACATATTAGGTGAGACCTGGCTCAAAAATAGCAACTGTGAGAGGGACCTTGGAGTCCTAGTGGACGATCACTTGACTATGAACCAGCAATGTGCAGCAGCAGCCAAAAAAGCTAATACAATCCTGGGCTGTATAAACAGAGGCATAGAATCAAAATCACGTGAAGTATTAATACCACTTTATAAAATCTAGTGAGACCACACCTGGAATACTGCAACCAAATTTGGTCACCATACTACAAAAAAGATGTTGAGAGCTTGGAAAAAGTTCAAAGAGCAACTGAGATGATTCAAGAACGGCTGCAGGACTTGGGTTTGGCTAGTCTAAAGAAAAGAAGAAATAGGGGTGACATGATAGCAGTATTTGAGAGGCTGACACAAAGAAGAGATCAAATTATTCTCCAAAGCACCAGAGGACAAGACAAGAAACAATGGTTGGAAACTGATCAAAGAGAGAAGCAACCTGGAATTAAGGAGAAAGTTCCTGACAGTGAGGACAATTAACCAGTGGAACAGCTTGCCTCCAGAAATCGTGGGTGCTTCATCACTGGAGGTTTTTAAGAAGAGACTAGACATTCACTTGTCTGAGATGGTATAGGTTCTCCTGCTTGAGTGGGGGGCTGGACTAGAAGACCTCCAAGGTTCTATTCTATTCTATTCTATTCTATTCTATTCTATTCTATTCTATTCTATTAATTCTGTAGGCCTGAAATAAAATTGTGCTATTCAAAAATGTCAAATTACCCTTTTCAAATATCGATGTTTATTTCTTGCATGTTTACTCAATATTGACTGACTAATTTTTATGCAGTTATTTTATGTCAGTGTCATTTAATAGCGTTGAATGGAATCAATGCCTGCTCTCTCAAAATTAGGCATTGTCAATGTCATTTTGTAAAAAAAAACCAAACATGTTTAATTAGATGTGTTCTATTCATGGAGAACTATGGTGCTGGAGAAGACTCTTGCGAGTCCCTTGGACTGCAAGGTGTTCAAACCGGTCAGTCCTAGAAGAGATCAAACCCGACTGCTCTTTAGAAGGCCAAATCCTGAAGTTGAAACTCAAGTACTCTGGCCACATAATGAGAAGGAAGGACTCACTGGAGAAGAGCCTAATGCTGGGAAAGATGGAGGGCAATAGAAGAAGGGGACGACAGAGAATGAGGTGGCTGGATGGAGTCACTGAAGCAGTAGGCGTGAGCTTAAATGGACTCCAGAAGGTGGTAGAGGACAGGAAGACCTGGAGAAACGTTGTCCATGGGGTCGTGATAGGTCGGACACGACTTCGCAATTAATAACAATTCATGGAGAAGAGAGAAGTATATTGGTAGTCAGAATTGAAGAAGCTTCTTGGATGAGAAACAAAACATTTTCAAGGAAAAACAAGAAAGTTCAGTTGCCTCTTGAAAAAGCATCTTGGGACAACCATAACCTGGATGACTGAGAATCTCCATAGACATATCCTGGTAGCAGCAACTCAGATATCAGACTTTCTTAGGCACCAAATAAAAAATGTGTTAGTTATCCTGGCAGTTTAAAACATTATATTAGATATTTTATATTTCTTAATAGTTATAGTTTATTGAGTTTGAGGCTACACAAATTAAAACTTTAAGTTAAAAACTGCTCCATTAATTTTTCTGCAGTACTGGCATCACTGATAAAATACAGAATATGGATATTTTAGTCTATGTTCTCCCTGTGAGCAGAAGATTTTAAACTAGTTCATTAACATATGCTAATCTGTGATTTAATCATGTGTACTGGATAAACTGTAATTGTCAAAATACTGATTAGAAAACAGCAGCTGAGTTCACACAAAAGGCTAAGTCAGGCTAAGTTGCTTTACAGTATGTTTGTTTTCCTGTCAAAAATGGATCTGACTTTCTGGATCATCTCAAACTGTGGTATAAATTGTCCTCAGTAGAAAGTGGGATAAAATGCAGTTTTTAAAACACAGAAGTATGTCCAATATCATGCGATCTTCTCTATTTATGCAGAATGTGTGAAATATTAGAAAATTAGCGCTAATTTACCTAAGAATAAGCTCCACTGACTGCAGTAAAGTACAGAGGGTTATGCTTAGGTGTCAACCGTGTACCCATGATCCTAAATACACACGGATAATATTGAGCTCTTAGATTACAACCCTACGCAACTCACTATTGTTGTAAATTGTACTTTTACATTGCAGGACCAATCTCATTGAGGAAAAAAAATCGGAGGAGGGTGAGATTTGCGCTACGGAGAACAATACTATAAAACATATCCTATTTTCTCCATAGTGAGACAGAAGGAGTCTGCCTTTCAAGTCCCGTCACAACTCTAGCCGTCCGATAGTGACGTAAACTAACTGGCTGAATATTAAGTGCGGCGTGCCTCCTCTTTCATTACATCTGGGAGAGAAAAGAAGTAGAAGGCGGTGGAACCCGCAAACGTCTAACCCTCACGTACCCTTCAAAAACAAGCGAACAGATAGCGATGGTATCAAACACTATTTTTGAAGACGGCATGAAAACTATCGGTTGTTGGATATGCTGAGAGGTGGACCTGAATGAAAACTGACTCTGCGAGGTCCTCTCCTACGGTGAAACAAGTTACCTCAGGAAACAGAGAAGAGCAGCGGCGTTCTATGCCCGTTACGTCAGACCGAGGGCTGTATATATTTACACCTCCTGCCCAACAGTCTTCAGTACGGGCTTTCAGTGCCCAGTGTGATTTCGTGCCTCTGAGAATGGTTCACGAAAAGCGGCAGGGAGCTCCTGCTGAAACTTCTACCGCAAGTACTTCGACGAAGGAGACGGAGAAAAAGAAACGAGTTTCGGGCTCTCTCTCGCAATTGATTCTTCAAGTTTTAGAAGCCTGCAATTCCCGAAAAGGTATCTCGCTGGCTGCTCTCAAAAAGTCCCTGATCGAAGCTGGGTATAACCTGACTAAGAACAACCTCCGCCTCAAAAGGGAGCTGCGCAATTTGGTCTCCAATGGGGTGCTGATCCGTGTCACCGGCAGTGGTGTTTCTGGCTCCTTCAAGTTCGGCAAGAATCAGCCGCCGAAGCCGAAAAAAGCAGCCGTCAAAACGGCCAAGGGGAAAAGGGTGCCTAAAAAGGCCCGAAAGAAACAACCGGCAGTTCATAAACCTAAAGGTCTCCAGGGTCGTAAGCCTTCCAACTCTGGAAGGAAACGTCAGGTGAACAAACGTCCTGCAGGGAAAGCCCGTTAACGAGGTTCTCGGCTTTTGCTAACTACACAAAACTATACAAAAGGCTCTTTTAAGAGCCACTCCGGAATCGCTGAAAGAGCTAGTGGCATTTTCGGATCAGGTCTTTTGCAGAATAACCAGTAAACGACTCCCCTTTTGAATGGTTTCGGGTTAATAATAGATTCGTGTACTCGGAAAAATCGAGGGTTTTTTTCAAAAAAAATTAATAGCATTTGATTATGTAAAGGAAGTTTGTGTCAAATGACAATTACGGTTCTTTCCTTTTTTATATATATAATGCCTGGTAAATGAAGGATTTCATGATTACAGTATAAATAGGACTTGTAATACAGGAATGGAACCTAAAAGCCATAGTTGGCTGATTAATCAGATAGATTGAATATTAAAGTTATTTGCAGTGAGTAAATGGGTTTGCTAGCAGCAAAGCTTATTTTTATGACAATATTAATGTTGGAAAAAATGTTAGTAGTCAAGTGATTTTTTTTCTCACCCAATATCAAAGGGAAAATAGCGTGGTTTCATTGTTCTTTCTAAATCAAGAGTTCTTATTTCAATGATTTTGGTAACAGGATATTTTATTCCTCTAAAACACATTATTTTTGGGTCGTTCATGTTTAGTATAGGTTGCTTTGTTTAGATCCCTGAAGACTATGAAATAGTGAAAATGGATTAGAGAGTGAACAAAATAATATTGGTATATTTGAGGCACTTTATTCCAATATCCCCCTATTGACTCCTTTTTCTGTCCGAAGTTTAAAAATTTGCAACCCTTTTAACACATGGTAAAATTTAGTTTCAAAACTTTTGAAGATACCTTTTTTGTAGAGGGAAGCTAAGAATGTAACTAGGGTTAACTATGAGAAACGATTCTCAATAATGCAGCTTAAAATATTTTAAGGAATATGGGCAAAAATCGATTTGCTCAGGCACTATAAAATTCTATCCACTTTCAGATTGGCAGGACGGCTTTTTATTATCTATTCAGAAAGCGAAAATGACTAATCAAAACCCACAAATCAGGCTTCTAACCATAATTAAGCAACTTTATTATTCCCTCGTCAGTTATTGAAACATGGCTCTAAAAAGAACCTTTATGCCTTTTAGCGCTTGGGGCTGAAGCCATCGCTCTCTCTTGGCCAAAGCAGTATTTGATTTTGTCACACTTCCAGGCCGTCCAACTCCCAGGGCCGTTTTGGCGTTGACATGCTTGCTGCTTAGGTCCGATGTGGGCGGCGGCGAGAGCTCCTGGTCTAGCAGGAAAATGAAGATCTGCACGTAGTTGGAGGTTGTAGTTTATTCGACGACTTTTCTTGTCCCGGGCTGCTTTCTCTGGTGGCTCTTAAATTCAAAACCTGGCGCTCCTCTTCCGATTCACTTGGTACAGTCCCTTTTCGGAACTGGTTTTCTCCCGCCGCCCCACAAAAACTACAACGCTGCCTTCTAGAGCCAACTTTACGCGCCCATTTTTCCCTCCAATTTTCACCACTTCCGGGCAAAACAGCTCTCCTTTCTACAACTAACGGCACAATGCAAAAATAAAGCTTCCTTAAATGTCATTGGTTAAAGCCTTCTGAAGGGCAAGCTATTTTATCCAATAAGAAGCAAGCCCCGTTTATTGTTTCTGAGAGACGAAGAGTTTAAATTACTCAACGAATGGAGGCGAATATACGTGTCCTAGGATAATATTGCAGGATCCAATCTGGCTTGGTTACCGACCCAGATTAGATCCTGTAAATTACTCAGTTTATCATACCGAAGGTTAAAAACAGATAATTCTGTATTAATTTTCCTCTTTCCATGGAAGATTTGGTCATACCCAAAACACTTGCTGTGCAGCAAGGCAAAGTAGTGAGGCTAAAGAAGACAAACTTTTTGTTTAAAACCAGAATAAAGGTGGTGTGATGTCACATCAGAACAAATACCATTCTTTAAATCCATTATCTCTCTAATTCAAAATCCCAAAGGTGCTTTTTCAAAAGGCAACTGGACTTCCTTTGTTTTCCTTGAAAACATTCACTTCTCATCCAAGAAGCTTCTTCAGTTGTGACTCAAAACTGAACAATCACGACCTGGAGGACTAAGAATCTCCATAGACATCTAATTCAAAATAAGTTCACAAGCCCACTGTTAACCCTATACCAGAAAAGCATTTTTATCCCCAGTTCCTATCGAGCAAGATCTATTCATCTGAGTCATTCCCAGGAACAGAGGAAAATGAATGTACCACGAAAATTCTGGGAGTTAAGCGTCCACATCTGGAAGTTGCAAAGGCTGAGATACAAAGGATTGTCACTTCAGTCAGCTATATTATGTATTATAAAAACGGTTTGGACTTAGTAAACAAAAAGTGGCTTACTCTTGGCTTAGCATATTGTATTCAATCATTATAGCTA